TTGTTTAAAAAAAGTCGGATTGTCCATAAATAAAAATCTAAAACATTTAAACCTCCTTTTTTCATAACTCAGGAATAATATCATATACGACGCCGGTCGGTTATTTCTTCACAGTATATTTTATATAATATTGAATATTTGATAATGTAAATCTCGACAATCGCTTGTATCTAGGATCTATATGGACTTTTCCGAGTATCTTGCCCGTCCCTACGGCCTACACCTACTCAGACCTACAACCTACGTATGTTCTCCAGTGCACACTCTATAACTACATTCACTCCGTCGCTACTATTCAGTATACAATATTTATGACTGGTTGAGGTACAATCTACCTGGCTACCTACATATATACAATATTGTTACGAAGTAAACGTCGCGGGACATTGTCAGGTCGATCGACGGGGCGATGACGAATAATCTCACTGTCAAGACGATTACGTCGACGTGTAGACGACGGAGATATTTAGGTGCACATATTGTAGCAGATGATGCTGTGACGTAAATGTGTGCGATAAATGTTTTTTACGATCGGCGGAACGCTGTCGCGGACGACGGATATAATACGCGAAGCAGCGGTATTATGGCCGACAGTGGTGAAAGGGGAAATAACGTCATAACTCACAATGCGTGCCCGCCGCAAGTGTAAAGAAGAGCACCGGGATTCTGGGGAAAAAAAACCCGTGTACGATTGTGTGTGTGTGTGTGTGTGTGTGTGTGTGTGTGTGTGTGCGCGTGTACGTGTCTTTTAATAATATCATCGCGAGTCGATTAAATGGTCGTCGTGTATAATGTACGTGAAGAGAAATGAAAGTATTAAGGTCGTCGGGGTCAGTCGTCAGTGTACGACTGTACGTATATACGTATATACAGCTTATATTGTGTGCATTTCGTACGGTTGTTCGGCGTGGGTACATATAGGTATTTATATTAGATTGTATTATTATATATATATGTGTGTATGAAAACGCAAACAGTCACCGCTGCGCAGCTGCCGACGGGAACTTCGGAATACGATAAGAAAACTGTGCACGGTTCCGTATATAATAATAATAAAATCATTATGTATACACACGCAAAACGGGAGATTCTGCACGCGTTAAGACGAAAAAACGACTCGGCCGACCGCGTTACAGTGTTATATTTTACTACTTTTATTATGATAAATTATCATACGAAAAATTGGTGTACTACTCGACGTCACGTCCGCGATCTGGATGTCCGATAATGTGTACCACCTCGTGCATGTACACATATAATAATGTGTTGTATATGTAATGTTATGGACGGGTACCGGCTGTACGTCGTGTGCCTCGTAGTTTTTCGTGCATAATAATACGAGTAGTAACAGTTGTACCTACTGATAATATAATTACGTGTATAATGGGTGGGCGGGTAGGAGGCCCACGCGTAGATAATTTATGAAATCGGATTAAATATTATCATATAAAAGTGCTGTTGCGAATATTTTTTACACCGTAATAATGATCGCGCGACGTTACCGTGGGACTCTGACCGGTGAACGCGACGAAATGGGAAAAAAATACCGACCTCTACGGGTCACGCGGTGCTTCCGATGTAATAATAATATGTACATAAACGATATGTGTGCACGAGTCGCGATGACGGGCTGCAAAACATGAAATATTAAAATGTAAAAAACGCAGACTTTCACTCGTAAAACTGTACATGTATATATATGTACAATGCAAACGAATCGATTAGTCTCGATGTCCAGCGCCGCCGTACACCTATAACTTATAGGTATACGCATCACTATACGCTTGCCCATAATGTTATTGCAATGGCTACCATACGAACAGTACGTATATATAATATATTTAAATATAATATGACGCGTGTGTGTGTGTAAACGCGAGTTGCGTCGTCGCCGGGCCGGCAACAGGTGGACGTCGCAGAGATCATCGTCACCGCATCTTCTACGGTGATGTTGTAATAATAATTATTATCGAACGAAAACTATGAGTAAACGGCATGTTATACGTATTATAATGTATTATATTATGCAGCATTTCGAATTTTGCAAGCGTATAAGGTCCAATAAGTACCCTACGTATTCGAACGCCCACTCTTAAATACTGCATTAATTTATAATTCTGCATGCCGAGTGTTCTAGGAAAATATGAAATAACTTTCAAAGGAGTAAAAAATTGTAGAGACAAAACTTTTTTTTATTGAAAACAGAATTACGTTATACCTGTGCCTGTAAGAGTCCAAAGGTTAAAAACTGAAATGAATGTCTGTGAGATGGTATCCATTCATACACAATATTTTTAAATCGAACGCTGATATATAATTGTGCATGGCTCTTTTCATCATCCCTCTACGAATAGCAGTAACTCCTCTTTGAATATGACTTTTCAGCTCTCCAATATTATTGTAGGATGAGTGATGTATCTACACTAAGTTTTTGTTTCACAAGAAAACATCGCACACAATTAAGTTAAGGTGATCATAATGGGTGTCACCAAACCATAAAATAACACGATAACAATATATTGTTGTAGGAACACCATTTTAGTATCTTACAAATATTAATCTTTAGACAAGACCCTTTGAGCTTTTGGAATAAAGTGTAGTTTTGTGTTTTCAAAAAAAATATATTACGCAAAAACATTCTTTATCAGCAATGGTCACTCCTATTTTTCTCTTAATAATGAAATTATTCAAATTCTGATTTTTAGTATTTTTAAGAATCTATACTTATATAGACAATACCTTGATTTCTTCAAGGGATGCTCGATACCAATTTCAATTAGGATGGCTATTTTTTCTATTGTTTGCAGACTACTTTTTTTGAAAACTAGTATATATTTATCTAAATCGAAATTCAAACAAGTAATTTTTTAGTTATGTTATTATATCCATTGACATTTTAATATTTATAAAAATTGAGTATACCTATAAACTTGCCTATAAAATGTAATCCAGTACTAGATTAAATATTATATACATTTAAAATAAAATTTGTGTAAAACCATTTTTAAGGACTATAGGACATGTATCCTTAGTATGAACATTTGAATGACTCAAAAACTACTTGTTCGAATTTTAGCTTAGATTCTTACATCGACATTTTTAAAATAATCATATGTTTTAGAATTTGTATTAAAAAAGGTTGATATATCTTCATTTGGAATAACGAAGTTTATATCACCGACCGGACACCATATACTTGATAATTGCAGAAATAAGAATTTCAATAAATTCATAATATATATTATGTATATATGTATATAAACGGTGATGAGCATTTTATATTATGGGGAATCCCCGCATCACCCTGACAGCGTTCAACAGGTAATATAATAGTGCAATGACAATTATAAGTATATCATGTAGGTACATATATAGATGGTCGTCACTCGTCAACAGTTGCATATACGGTTGACGATATATGTACGAAATTTATTTGAACCCGGGAGACTATAACTACGTGAAATCTCGCCTGGAAAATTTCGTTTCGGTCGATTTTCATGTACACCGCGGTCAACTGCTCCATTCGATCGGTATAGCCGGTATATAAGGTATACTAAGTTATATTCGATTCCGGGCGTCAGGGAGTGCCGGACTGCAGCTGCAGCCACTGTTTGTTGTGTAGTAGCCAATCTAGAAAACAATTACGAAGGAGTGCGTCATTATGTGTGTAATATAAATACGATTTTTTCACTTTTACGCGGCTGCCGACCAGACCGTCGCCGCCGTCGTCGTTGCCACATGCGTGCCCGTGCGATGACAAGTGTGACATATCGGACGAAGCCATTGTTATGCTGTGTTGTTGTCGAACAGAGTTGGAAAATTAATAATTCATTCACTTGCACATATATTTTGCATTGAGCACGCACACACACATATCGCGCGCGCCGGCGAACAAGAGAGAAATAACCGAGAGCCTGAAAACGAATAACTACGATGATGCGTTATTATTTTTATAATTTTTTTTTTTTTCATCTATTTTATTTTTGCTTTCTTGCAAAACAATCGTTTTCACTTTCAAAACGACGGCCACTGCGCCCGCGTCAAGCGCGGAAGTGAAAACCGAATGGCGCGCCGGCGGAGACTATATTAGACGCGAAAAGTTCGATACGACGACTTACACGCACACATACCTACGCGGTTATCGGAAACTCGGCGAGAAGAGAAAGGAATTCGGATAAATAGCCGCTAAAAATGCGGCACATGCGTATACCTAATAACTTATATTATGTTGATGGCGGGCGGCGGTTAATATTATACTCACGGTGGAAATTGGCATTACACTTGCAGCAGAGGTATGACCGCCCGGGTCATCAGCTGCACCGTAATTATTATATTACGACCTGAGCCGTAATAGAGCAAATGAAGAAGAACGGTTTTCGTAATTGTTATTGGTCAACTGAGTACACCGACCAACTGTATATTGTACGATCAGTATTTCAGTGATGATAATAATGATAATAATACTATTACGCCTGATGAATTCGGTGTATTTATTATTTCGATCGTAACGAAACAAAAATAACAGAAATCAAATTGATTAAAGTGAAAGTCGAGATGATCAATTATTATTATTATATTGTGTTTTATTGATCGTCGTATTTTTCCCTTTTTTCTTGTCTTCCATCACACGTCATTGTTCGGGCGCATCGTACCCATCATACTACCCGTTTATACCCATCATTTTACACATAATATTACACGCAATAATGATATATGAAATTGTTCGTTTATACGCATGGAAGGGCCCGGAACGCGGTAACCGAATAATGAGCTTCATAAACGACTTTAATTTCTTTTACATTACAATAAAAACGAAAACAGAATTTATTATGAGCCATATACCAAACATTGCCAATTTTTAAAAAACCTTATCCTTAACTAACTTTTTAAATAGTAACTGGACACAATAATTTATGGACATAATATTATGCTACCCGTTATGTTTAATTAAATTTTTTCTAAACATTTCTATTGTAACAGGTGTTTTCATATCATACATTATTATGTAGCATACCTACCTACTAATACATTTGACGCTTTTCAATTAAAACGGTTTCGTCGTTAGTTTGTTCAATGTTGAGTCATCGGTATACTCATAATATAATGGCCACTATACGTGCAATACGGATCTATACGCACAACACTTAGTATGGATAAAAACGTGAGTACCTATAGCAACGGTTTATTAAAAAAATTATTAGGGATTTTGGTATACATCAATTGTAAATTGGTAATCATACATTCATTGATCATATACTATTTTTTGGCTATGAATGATTAAATATATCGTTGATTATTATTATTTGAATTTCGAGGTAAATGAAAGTTTTCGACCACAAATCACTATCTCTTTGCGTTTTTAATTTCCGTAAATACATTCCCGGTGTTGAAATTATTTACACACCATAATATGTATACATATTATATGTATAATGCATGTATTTAATATTCCATAGTTCAGTTTCGGTTAACGTGAAATGTTAAGCTTGCTAATTGTTCGATCGTAATAGGTTATCATCATATTAAAGTAACTTTTTTTTATATACATAGTTCTATATAAGTATTAGAGATATTATAATATCACACGATATTGCTACAGAAATAGTATAATTAGGTACATTCAAATGCGTCACAGAAAAAAGTTTAACGTTAGGTTTCCTTTAACAGATACTTGTGTATTATAATAATACTATGACGTATTCGATTTTATTTTTGATCGAATAAAATATTATTTGATTACTAATTAGCGTCCGTTGACTTTGAATTGACTTTTATTATTACTAGAGATGTATATAGTTAATGTTATTATTTCAACATTATATTATGCACGTGAGTATAAAAACAACATATACATTAAACTATATAATAATTTGTAATCGTTAAGGTCTATAAAGAACCGGATGTAGAGTGATAAAAAAAAATCCAAATGGGAATAAAGACATTTTTTCAACATAATATTTTAAATTAAAAAACATATTAAGTTTTATTGACGTAATTTTTCTGACCGTATTTTTTTCTATTATTATTGTTATTATTATTAATATTATGCAAATGCCATTTGTACTATATAAATTCATTATAAGTACGTATTTTGTCCTTCGCATATTTGGGAAATATTTTGTCGTTGTACGCACGTACCTATAAAATGCAATATGTCCAATAATAATCTCTAACTTTAATATAAATTATATTACTTTCTAAAATGATTACTATCCATTTTGATTAATCCAATTATTTATTATATCATGATATTTTCTTTGTTCAATGTTATTTTTCAGTTATTTTTTTCTGTCGAGCCCATTTTAATTTAAAAATTCATTTTTGTTCATCCAGTTGATAGGTCTGGTTGCTCTATAGGCAATAGTATAATATAACAGTGTTGAACAATAAACCTAACTGGTAACTAACGTACAAAAAAAATATTATTTACAGATTAATGTGATGTATATGGCAAATGTTATTCAAATATAGATAATAACTATCGTTTTATCAATGGGTAGTGGGTATTATACATACGATTTCATGTACCTGCAGCATGATGTGTATATACTGCTATAATACGTATTTGGTTTCTTTCCAACGCGCATTATAATTAATTTTCTGAACGGATCAGCTGAAAGCTGAGAAAGCTGATGCTTTGGTGATTGTACAAACATGAACATTACGTGTACTTAATTTCTAAAGAGCTAGTGGAGACATTTTTTTTTCTAAACGTTAGGTGCCCATCTATTTATATGTACACGTGCTCCGATCCTCACGAGTTGAACCGAAATTAATTAAAACAAATTATACAAGCGGTAGTATTATTAAGATAGTTATCGAAATTGAAAAACACTCTCATCGCTTTTAAACAAAATTACGGCAAACGATGTTGTTACTGCCATTAGACATTCTATTCGATAACATTTCCATCCAACGTTCGTTATTTTCCGCTTGTATAATTCTATTCTCAGTGTAGTTTATAAGACCGTAAAAAATATAATAACGACAGCGCCCAATTGCCAAACTCTAACAATTCTTTATAAACGACGCTCTAGTGTACACGGTCTACGATATAACAACGCGTAATTGGTGCGAATTCCCGAAGATTAATTGTTTTTAAACTTTACACTGGGTACGATAAGTTGAACGGATCATTTTTCGATCTCGAATCTCGCAGAACACATGCAGAACGGAAGATCATCTGCATTACGGTCGCGGTGTTTAAAAACAAATCTTGAAAACCGTGAGAAAACGTATTTTTTGCAGACATATAAGTATAGTATATACACAGCATAAGTAATAGAGTTCTATAGTCTCTGTATTATAATGTACATAGGTGCTGTACACTTACGTATAGTTGTATAATATATAGAAATAATATAAAATGGAATTCACACAAACTATACAAGATTCGCTTTGATTACGGGTGTTATAAAATAATAATTGTTCTACCAACACGTAATGAAACAAATAACAATATAATGAACGGTTATTGTAAATTTATTTTCAGTTTAGCTCTGCAGAATCGATTTTCGTAAGCGGTCGTCCGACGCAAATTTCACTGCAACTCACCCTCTGTCCATGTACCTAAACCTACTGCACACGCACACATGCAGTCATCAGCGGGTAAGTCGCTCACCCTATATCGGAGGCAAGTACACGATCAATATTGAAACTTGTAAAGTTCGCACGTCACAGAAAAACATGTATAAAACGAGTAAACTGCATAAGAATTGGTTTTTATAACTTTCCTGTAAAAAGTTTTAATGTTGTGTTATATTATAGTATATTACATATAATTACTTGTCCCTGTGCGTAAATATGCAAATAGTACATGCGTACAAATTCTGATAAATACGTTAACGATTTCAGAGACATATTATAATAATAAATTGCAGTGGATTGTCGATCTCATAGAGAAAAAAAGGTATAACATGTATAAGTCACGTGACACGTGCCATTATATTACTTACAGGATTACGTTTTTTTGATACATTTTTCGATGTTTTATAGGATAAGTTTTGTCATTTTATTTTATATATTATTAACGCGCATTGTCGTACACAATCATTTAAAAAAAAAAAAACTAAAATCTCTCATAAGTTTTTAGTCAATATAGTATATATGTATCTTACTGCAGATCTAATTATAAGTGTTTTGTACTAATACTTATAATTAGTAATTAAATACGAGTAATACAATTTGTAATTGTATAATTAATAACTTTACAATTTCACTGAATGAATTAAATATAATTTCTGTCTTTGGTTTAGCAGTTTACAGCCAGTACGATTCCAATTATTAAATTTCTATACTTTTATATTCAATATTCTTAATTCTAGTGATATTATATTCTACATTATTCTATGTTTTTTGTACTCTAGTACATATTAAAGGCTCTTTAAAATTTTAAAATAAAATCAGCAAAATAAAACGTCCATTAGGTACACGAACACAAATATAATAATTAGAATGTATAGAATAATTTACAGAAAATTACAATTTTTACGACGAATGACAAAGCCAAGATCCACAGAGTTAATATTTCCGATAAGTATACACTTTTCCTCACACACATAAAAATATGATACAAATAAAAGGTAATAAAAGTTCACTCCTCCCTAATACTGTAGACATCAAATTGTTTTATGATATGGGATTATCTATTTTATTTTAATTTCCTAATAAAGGATTACATATTTTTCTTCTAAAAATTACCAAAAAAAAATAAGATAGTGAAAATATAATTTTAAAATTATCTGAAAAATATTATTATCTTTTTTTTCTTGAAAATGATTTGAGTTCTCATTTGGTTGATTAAAATTTAATTTAATACATGGACATCAACATTTTGGTAAAAAAATATATATTATAATAGTTCAAAACATACCAAGCAATGCATTAGTTTTATTTCCTATGAAAATTATTAATTAACCTTCTGAAAATGTTCACCATAATAAAGCCTTGGCCTTGTAATACTTATGCACAAATGTCAATTTCTAGTACCTAGAATATTTTTTACTCTTCTTAACCTTTTATTTTATTTTCATAATAACGATAATGGTTTGGGTGCTTAAGTCAAATTTAGATTTAAAGGACTTTTATAGTTTCAACGTTGAATTATTGTATATTAGGGGGAACATATTCAAAAAATTATAAAAATGTAGAAAACGCTAAAAACGTTTGATAATAAATAGAATATATTGACATTTTAACTTAGTTTTTATCGAACGTATAAAAGTAGTACTGCAAATGTACAATAATATTCTGTAATCTACTTTAGCTGGACCGTCATACAATAAAAAAAACAAATTAAACACCATAGAGAAAAATATTATAAATGTATCTTGTACTCCCTCGCCTATACATTTTTGGATCCATGCCTCGCCCCGCCAATTCATATAAAATGCTCTATGTGAATGTGAATTATTTAATTTTAGACAGTATACCAGCTAATTACGATATGAAATAAACAGTTTCTATGATGAGAATTATTTAATAAATTTAAAATTTGATAGGTTGATTATTACATTGCAACGAAGTATACTTACATATTATACTTAATACTTACATATTAATGTATTAGAACCTACTAATACTTTCACAGTTTAAAAAAAATTCAGAAAAGTATCGAGACGAAAAAGTAAAAAGTAATTTAAACCTCATAAACAGACAGTTTTATTCAAGTAATATAATATGTTCAATCAAAACCTGAGCTCCGAACTTTCTAAAAATGTATAAAAATAAAACTAAAAGTTAACTATGTGATTTATTATATATAATATTTAGTTGGTATTATCTTAATTACTATCTTTTACATATTTGATTAATAAACAAAATTAAATGATACACGCATATTATATAATTTTAATTTAAAAAGATGTACCAGCCATTCTATTTATAACTCAAGATTTGAAATATAAATAATAACAGTAATTTACGCTGGTCACACCTAAATATGTAATAAAAAAAATAAGATCTACACATCGCTGTAATTTTGACGCACATTCAAGTCGACAGCGCCCAAAAATACGGAGTACCAACTTTAATAATATATGTATGTATATTGTATACACCTTAGTTAGTAATTTCGTACCTCCCACCTAAGACGACTGCGGTTACACATATAATTTATCAAATTAGATTAGGTCCCATAATAATATAATATATAGCTGTAGGTACTATAATTTATAACGTGATGTCGTGATACATTTATTTATGATAATCCGTTCTATATAAAATATACAAGTAGGTATCTACGATATATTACACAAATTAACGCAGCACTCCAAGCTTGCAATAAATTCAAGTTATTGACGATTAATTATCTTGATTTGTTCGTAATTTTTGGGCGTCTAGGGGGGTTGGATTAATATTTCTTTAGTGAAAATATAAGGCATAAGGTAACTAGTCCTAGTCAAACTAAGGATTCTGCTAGATCCAAAATCGGGTATTGTGATAGTTTTTACTAGAAATTCGGACCACAGTTCGGGCTGTCAGAATTGATTCAAGATTAATATTCTAGTCAGATCACGCAGTAGGCCATCCGTAAAATAATGTTGGTATATATGTTTGTATATTTTATAATATAATATACAGTAGGTATAGGTACTCAATATATATTAATCAAGGATAAATCTATCATTTATATTTTAATTAATCTGTGATAAATTATAGTAATAGAGTAACATTGCTGACAAAAATATGCATGTAAACAGGCTTCAGATTTAATGAAAAATACTTACTCACAATATTATGCTTAACGCCCAGTTGACAATCTGTGTATTTAAGTACATTATAATAAATTGTAGTATATACTACTGAAACTGCTAAAATATAATAGTTGTCATGTCTCGTGTATAATACAAATGTAAAATATGTATTATTCTAACTATAATAGTATTAAATATTTTGTAATTATTAATTTTTTAGAAAACAAGTTAATCGCAAATGTATGTTTTTATTTGTAAACCTCGTATCTATTACTTAATTTTTTTATTTTAGACTGACTGCAATCAACAGCTAGAGTTTTGGATGTTGGGTCTTGGGTATATACGTTTTTTAGTCATAGTTATATAATAATCGATATAAGTACATAACATGTAGTAAGTACTTCTTCATTTTCAGAGGTCCTACAAGACGTACTAGTGTATTATGTAGTATATCTATATTAAATGTACTAATCAAAATGTTGGTATCTATAGAAAATAAATCAAAAGATAAAAAGGTCGGTATAAAATGGGTCTGTGTCGTTTTTTGTCGTAGTACTCTTGAGTGGTAAACCTATAATCAAAAGCCTTTTCCGACTCGATCCGATGGTAATTTTCGGAATTTTATATTATAGTGGATCGGGTTGGGGTTTGGTTGGATTGGACCCATTTTTGTAGATTTGTGCGTCTGTGAGGGCTCTATAACACTTAATGGTACCTTCATCCTTCGCAATATCAATTTTAAGAATAAATAGTATTCATATATTTATTTTAAACGAAAACAATTGTCATTTGACTTAACACAGTAAAATAATCCATCAATGGTTTTTATTTAGCAAAAGAATGTTTATAATCTGTGCTTCAATATGCAAATAAGATACATTTTTAATAATATATAAGTACAGTAAAAATAAACGACGATATAATATGAGGAGATAGTCCATTCGGTGAAAGAAGTATAGAACACTGCAACGTGTCTTTCCTAGATTATAGTATTACACGTATTATTTTAGTTTAGTAAAGGTTTCTATTGTGAAAATTCTACAATATTTCCTTTTTAGTCGATGGATATAATTTATATAGGTTGAAAAATGAGTAAAATACAATAAAATACAATACAATAGAGTACAATATGTATTGTTTGAGTTTGTTTTTTGTTAGTTGTTTTATAGTGTTTAGTGGTTAGTCATAGGCGGAAATTTTAGGTGGCGGCTTATTAGCCCCCCCCCCCTCAAAAAAAAAAAATAAAATCCGTCAAGCCCTCTCCGAAAATCCAACAGTTATTTTGAAGAGGCAAAGCCCCCAAGATTTAGGTTCATTTGAAAAATAATAGTCCCCTCCAATATTTGCATTGGTTTTCCGCCTGTGTGGTTAACTGGTACACTAAATATATTTTGAAGTTAGTGTACAATTGAATATTTACAAATCAAAAGGTGTATTATATAGTTATCATTGGTAAATAAATCCATTGGAAAGCACGCATAGATAGTACGAACTTGGGATGGAATTGCATTACCCAAATTTGGATCGCATGATCAAACAGATCTTAAAGAGATAAGTTGCTGTTATTCAATGGTCCATGTGTTGCTTTAGTGGATAATTACGGATTAATAATTTTTTTTCATAGTATGTTTCATTATTGTGTAAAATAATTTTTAATATTTTGAAATAAAAGTTCAAACATTTTTTATATTGAAAGCGTCGGACAAATTTTGTTAAAATAGTTACGCAATTTATTAATACTTCTACACACTCAAATACGAACAAAAAAAATTTAATTATATGTGACTCTCTAGTTAAATATTGATGATGTATTGATGTATTTTGTGGTACTTAATGGATAAGATGGGGAGGATATTATTTTATCCAGTGATCAGTTTTTTATATTTTCAAATAAATACAACAATCATCCTTTGTAAATAGACGGGGCCACAAAGATATCTCCAGCAACACATATTATTTTGAGGATAGCCCCCACTGATCATAATTCATAGTATAACTTATAAGGAATATATTATATATTTCTTGTACTATGAGTCTATGAGACTGATTATAAATTTATGCATAATGAGGTTAGTGTGGATTGGGATTTGTACATACATATAGCCATATATATAATGTACCTACTTCAAAAAGTCTAGAATAACATTTTAATGTGAATCCTGAGTGTTTTATCATCATTTACTCGACCTTGCATAAACATTTTATTTAATAATAATTATGATTAAAACAAACAAAAAATTAGTTGACTCGGGAGTTTGTTATAATCTCACCTTGTATACATATTCTGATCGCACGTGTTTAACTGATAGTTGTAATTTCAAATTACAACTCGTTAAAAATTATAGATAAACGAACACAATATAATCATTCTACGTAGTAACAGTTCGACGTACCTGAATATGTTGGTCAGATAAAAATTATAAATAATTAATTGATTGCCAAAGAAATGCAAACTATGTACTCGCCAAATGGCCACGGTAATTTTTTAAAGCTAGGTAGGTATGTAGCTACTATTATAGATAGTACCTGTCTACACATTGCTCGGATGTCGGTGAGAAATTAGTATATTTTCATCAATGTTTCTTTTCTTCCCGTATGACATAACAAATGGATTCTGCAAGAAACGTACAAAAATGTGTTCCCATGCAATGGGAATAATTTTTTTTTTTGAGTTTTGCACTATGGAACGCTAAAAATTGACCTTGGCTTAGAACGGAAATAGAGAATATAGTGATGGCTGGTGTAACTTTTATACAATTACTGCTAATAAGGAACAATAATTGTATTATATATTTCTACAGCTATTCCAATAGGTAACATCATAATATTGTATTTGTATATTTTAATATAGCATTAATGATATTTTCTGTTAAATTTAGGTAACAATTTAATTCATAACAGTTGAGCAATACTATTCTTAACCAACGCTGTACGTGTTGCTGTGAATTTATAACGTATTCACATGGTTCTTTTTGTTACTTTGGTAGAAAGAATAATTACGTACAGACAAATTATGTTTTATATTCCTAGTTATGTATTGTGTTATGTGTGTACAAAAATATATTTAGCATATTTCAGGTTTTACATGTTTTCAGGTCATTACTCACGTTTTTATCAAATATATTTAATTACAGTTTAATGTTCAACCTAGAAACTAAAAAAGAAGTTTTTTTTTTAATAAAAATTAATACCTATTTAATATCAATAAATTTGGCTTTTGGTTTCATAATTAAAATATTTTAAAATTGTTGTTTTTGTTAAGCATTTGTTGGTGAATTTAAATATGGATACATAAAAAAGTATATACTAATGGCAATAATGCAATATACGATACTTAAAAATAAGAATTACAAAAAACGTTATCTTGACAAATATTTACTTAAATATCTTTTTATTCCTATTTTCTTATTGTAACTCTTAAAATAAAATTTATCTTATCATCTGCATTTTTAATGTATATAAAATTGCATGTGAATTTAACAGTTTTTAGAGCATTTAATTCATAACAGATATTCACAGTTTATAACCAACCTATGAGAAACGTATTTATTTTGTCGTGTATAATATGTTAAAAAGTAAAATTAGCGGAGTAAACACTTTTAAAGGTTTCGAGTTATTATTAGAGTTAACATTATTTTTGTTTAAGTCGAGGCCAACTCTTTTATTAAAAATAAATAATAATATTAACGCTTTCCCAGCATTAAATTAACATAATAAATATTTCTATTTAAATTTTTTATAGTAGATTCATAAAATATGTGTTGATTGTTACTACTTACTATTATTAGACACATGAAATTGTTTTTTTCATTCTAAAAATTGTGGTTTCCCATATTTTCAGACACCATTTAAAATACTGAAGAGTCTGAAGCGCATAATATTCGTATACAAGCATGATAATAATATGTTATCTGTTTATTCGAGTTTAGTTTCTAACATTTTTAAAATCTTTTCTGTATCTAATACCTATCTCTTTGCCACTGAACGCTTTCTGTTTATTTAAAAACACTTTAATTTAAATATCTATATAATATAAACAATACATACATAGTTCAACTTAATGAATAACTACAACAAGAATTCATTACCTATTCATATACATTTATTTTTGATTTTATTCATCTACATCGTAATTGGCTACTCTATATTGGATTTAAGAATAATACTTTTAATAATATGTATTATTACGCTTGTTTCCAAAACCTGATAATCATCAATTCATACGATTTCGATTTGTTATTAATTAAACGAAAATTTGATGAGTAGCTAAACAAAGCTAATAATTCACTTGATGCAATTGTATTGCAATTATCAAATATCAATTCTATGTGCAAATATTTACCTTGAATTTGAAAATCATAATTTTTTAATTCACAAAAATAAATAACTTCGTCGTGCATAGAAATACAACCATTAAATATGTAAAACTTCTTCGTTTTAATTTCAATATATTAAAAATAATCGTTTATAAAAATATATTATATAATATTAGGTAGGTACTACTTAACAGTATCATTCTAAAAAAATACATTCGCAAATGGAAAACACAAATCTAATTTTATTAATAAGTTTATACTCATATACCCTATAGTTTGGGTAACAGTGTAACATAGATGGACACAATTCGTTCAAAGGTTTTTAGAGGAGCTTCTGATAATTTGGCAGTTGAGCCACCATCCAAGTACACAGCCTTTTCCACGAATTGTGCCTATGTCAGATAATCGTGTATTTGTCCACATGCAATGCGTATAATAATGATAATGATAATAATAATTATAGTAATAAAATAAAATATTATGTAAATCATCCATACACGATAGTTAAATATAAAAAAAATTACGTTCAAAGTCACATTCACGACAAAAATAATAGATTCAGTCTTATATAAATAATTAAAAGTTCACTAAATTACACCAAACAATGGAGATATTTTGAGTGCTAATGAGTGAAATGGAATAATTTATAGGCGTTGTGAAGATCGTTAGTTCTTGAGTGATGGTTGATTCCTGTACGATTGCAAGAATTTCATGGGTTTTTCTTTTCCAGACAATGCTTTGGCCACTTTAGATTCTGTACTTTTCCCCAGTTCCTCACAAATATATCTGCCAGCACCCAATAACAATTCCATGTCCACGCCAGTTTCGATGCCCATTCCCTGCAACATGTACACTAGATCTTCGGTGGCCACGTTACCAGAAGCACCTCTGGCATATGGGCAGCCACCAAGACCGGCCACTGAGGAGTCGAATACCGAAATTCCCATCTGGAAACAAAAAAAAAATAAAGTTGTATTATATTGAATAGAACGATGTGGATTGTAAATGGCAATTGTCAATCCCGATTTGTGTGTGTCTACATATTCCCTGCTTTTTTTAATGTTAGGGATGCACCACCCCCCCCCCTAAAAAAACAACATCTGGACGAATCTCACCAATCTCTGGTGTAATATAATAATATATTAATATGATAATCAAGGCAATGAATCAAAGGCTAAAAATAACCATAAAATATGAACTAAAAATTCCAAAATATTTAAAATTGAATTTCTTGCTTGGAAAGTTAGAACTGTATTTTCTTGTGAATCAAATTTTAATAAATTATATACAAAATTTAATTTATGGATAGGCATATTCATCTAAAACACGCTTATGACGCATGATAAATAGAATTTAAAATAGTTCAATAAATAGTATAATTTTTCTATTTGAGCGTTGTAATAAGATATATACAACATTAAAGTGTATCCAAAAAGTGAAAATAAGTTAGGATAGGTGAAACCAAGTCATTTGAGTTAAGGTTTATGACTATTCGAGAAAACTGTGTTTATATTGTGCTTACCTCCAGAGCAGTAAGTATGTTAGACAATGCTTGTCCGTAAGTGTCGTGACAATGGAGAGCCAAATTTTCGGCAGGCACCATTTCCATGACTTCTTGTAACATCGCCCTTATTGTGCCCGGTGTACCGATACCAATTGTGTCTCCAAGAGAAATCTCATAGCAGCCCATTTTGAAAAACGCGTCTGACATCTAAACATTAGAAAAACATAATTTTATTAGTGAGATACTCTATTTTATAAAAATAATATTTCTATATGTTCTATTAAATAATAACAATGTATTACATAGAATTTAATGTTCAAAATTATCAATCCTTTATTTAATTTTTAAGTATAGGTGCTTATTATAAGAGAAATTTAATATTTTTTTTAAATGTATGAAAATTTTTCGAAAATCGAAAAAGCTATGGTTTGTACGAGTCTGATCTCCCATGTACTCAAATTATAATTCACTTTCAAGCACAAGTATTTTTATGTAGTTTTATAATTAATAGAGATAATTTAATTAAATAGATCAGTATTAAAGTTTTCTTCTATCTAAGATATATATTAGAAATCATTCATGTGTGTACTTATAGTATCTAGTATGTGTCAACTACCTTAGCGACATCTTGGGGCGACACTGCACCGTCGTACGGACACCCGCACACACAGGAAATGTACCCGCGGACTTTGATGCCATGGTCCAAGGCTGTGGACACTACGTCTTCGAACCTTTCCAGGCTCTCGGCAATGCTGCAGCCAATGTTCTTTTGACTAAACCCTTCGGAAGCGGACCCAAAAACGGCGATTTCTTTTACGTCGTGTTGCATCTGAAAACGATATCGAAACATGAAACCAGAATATACAAAATGCATGCGTCGAGTAAGTCAGTATACGTACAGCTGTGAGTAGACCTCGCATGTTCGGCACCAGCACCGGATACGACACACCTTCCACTTTGTCGATCCTGCTGTACACGTCTGAGTGGTCGGCCATTTGTGGCACCCATTTCGGCGAAACGAAACTAAAACCAAAGCGAACAGTGGATATATTTTATATGTATATTTTTTAAAAAGAAACGCAATAGCCAATAAATAGTGCTACCCATGTATTATAGTATAAGTTATAATAATACAGTTAGTACCATTAGTGGTTACTGCAGGTTACTCATAATAGTCAAGCTGCGGTCAACACGATGGCCATTATTATTAAACACTCACCTAGTAGCTTCAACGTTTTTAAGACCTGTCGCAGACAGCCTGTTTATGAACTCCACTTTAACTTCGGTCGGTATGTTTTTCGATTCATTCTGTAGACCGTCTCTCGGTCCTACTTCGACGACCCGAACTTTAGTCGGATACTTTTGAGCGCAATTCACCGCATAGCTCTATAAAAGAAATTATATTTTTTTATTTTAAACATATTTTTCAGTTCGAGCATAATACTATGTAGCACGGGAACCAAAAAGGAATTTTATTGAGAAATTTATATTTCTTTTATTGACACATAGGTCAATTTAATATCTCGTCAAATGTTTGAATTCCATGTAATTGATATTAAATACTATTTCTACATATAGTCATATAGACAGCTAGAGAACAAGACATCAAAAAGAATAATTTAACAGTCACTGACACATAAACCAATTGTAGAATTATATTACTTACAAGACGCGCAAATAAAGTAACAAAACCTATTTATGCATTCCTGCAATTGCCAAACATGAGGAACAAACGATTTTTATATACTATTATGTAAGAATTAGAGATCGGTATGTTTTGTCAAAATGAAAAAGTCATGGACCCGATCAGGGTCAACGGAACCTTACAAAACATATTTAGCTATATTTTGGAGGTCACATGATAGTTTTGTTTGTTGTTATAAACTAACTGCGTATTAAGATTAACAGTATAAAATATTTTACTTTAGATGCGGGAATTCAAAAATACCTAAATAATATATGCATACTATATTATAATATCTCGTCTGCTTCTACCTGTTCAACGAATGTTGCACAATGGCATTGGCGATTCTGAGTGAAATAAAAATATAACTACAGTTGCTTCCATGGTCGCAAATAACTAAATAGTTCCATAAAACAATATTAGCCGATACCAATATTCATTTATTTTTAAGTATATAGGTTCTAAATCCATTATTTTTTGGTAGATTTACACGGTGCACATTACAATATCGAATATTATTTAATCGTTCAGTATATATACATATATATATTACTTTGTTAGAAATGTATTATACATTAAAAGCATACTGCACTAATCGAAAGTCTAATTTTATGATCATTATTTTTTTATACCTCCAAGGTACGAAGTAAATAATATGTCTACCCATAGCTGGTGAAGTATTATTCAGGGTAAACGAGACAGTGTTTCGAGGTTTGTTAATCAACAAAATATATAGATACGCAGATAACTGTTATAATATAATCCAGTTTAAGAAGAGATATAATAATATAAGTATAAAATTATGTGGTACCAATACTTAAGTCCAGTAGTTTGAAGATAATATAATTTTT